CCTCTCTTTTGGCTGGTAGTTGCTTTACCCTTTGGAGGAAGTTGACTACCTAATCCTCTTTTATAAGGCCTGCTCAAATCTGTTGAACTTGGTGTTGGTTGGCTTGAGCTTCTAGCTTCATTAACCCTTCTAACCCTTGTTGTATCAAAGCACACAGAGTTTGTAGGTTGGCTTGAGCTTCCAGCTGCATCAGGTTGGCTAGCACCTTGTGAGCTTTGGCTACCTTGTTGTGAAGGCATCCAATTTTCAGCCTACATAACATTGAGCAACATCAGTGAATAACAGTGATGGAAACAGATTACTACATTCATATGAACAACATGAAACATGTGATGGCAATAGGAAATATTTGACAAGAAACACTTACCTTACAATATCTTTTGTTATGTCCTTGTTGATGACACTTGGAACATGTCATTTTCACTCCACACTTGGACAACTTTCCATATTTCTTTTTTGGTTCATCTTTGCCTTTTCTTCTGTTCCTCTGAGGTCTACCAGAAATGGGTTTAGGTTTGGGAGGCTCTATCTTAGGATTGTTGGTTTCAGGCCACATCTTCATATTTGTCATAGGCTGGATGAAATACTTGTATGCTTTTAAGAAGGTATCCCTCTTATACCAATGCTCTACTGCCCGTTCAGGTTCTTCGTTTATGTGATAGTATGCAAGAACAACATGTTGACATGGAATACCCCTCAACTGCCAAGCTCTACAAGTGCAAACCTTATCAGTCAGATTAACTACATGCTTATGCAGCCCTTCTCCAATCTCAAATCCAACATCAGCATTCCAAAGGACAGTACATTTTCTAGCAAGGTCTTTGCTATCCTCTAACAATAGCCTTGCCATAGGTGATATATCAGATATCCAAGTATCAGCAAATTTCAACATATCCACTTGCCTAGTCATTATTTTCCTTCTAATCTCCTCCAACATAGTTATAATTCATTTATGCCTAGAAGATAAAATTCATGAATTAAAGGTCTCACACATATTATTTTCAACAACATCACACTTGGAATGTACTTCAAAATAAGCTCTAACCTATGACTTTTTTGGATAATATAACAAATCCTTACAAATATCCTTACCAAGTTTGTCCATTTTCTCAAGCTCATCTTTAAACTTAACTTCATAACTAGATTTAGAGCACCCCCAAAACTGTTTTCTCCTTTCCATTTCTTATGCCATTAGACCATATATGCCTGGCACACATCCTAAATCCAGCATTAGGTAAAACTTCATTCATAGCTGCTGCAAATCTCTACACAATAATTAATTCAAATTACAGCAGCATATTACTACACAAAATTGAATACTTAACAGCAGCAGAATACTAATTACTTAACAAAATAACAGAATACTTAAGTACTTAACAACTGAACATATCACATTAATGAACATCAAATACCAAAATTACTTAATAGGCTACTTAAGAGACAACAGAATAGAATACTTACCTTTTGCATATCTGCCATCACAGTCAATCCTTCTCCAGTTCCCAATTGCAAATCATCTTTCAAGTAGTTGATGAAAAAACTCCAGCTATGTTTTGTCTCCTAGTCCACAACTGCCCATGCTATAGGAAACATTTGCTGATTTCCATTCTTGCCAACAACAACTAGAAGCTCACCTTTACAAGTACCCTTTAAGAAACATCCTCAAATCCTCTGTCAATACCTACTTCTCCTAGTGGTATTTCATCTGTTGCAATTGGTTTTTTCCTCTGCTTACCCTGCCTCTTGCTCCTCCTTTCAGCCCTTAGAGATCTCAATTCATCATCAACATCTGAATCATCTTCTTCTGGAAGAACATCTTCTTCTGATTCACTACTCTCAATATCTGATTGCACTCCATCTTCATTAACATTATGGTTTGGTGGTTCATCTCCAT